GAGTTCTTCGCCGGTGGGCTTGGAGGCTGGGTAGATCGAGGAAGAAGAGAAGAACGGGAATTAAATAATATAAATATAAAAACATTTTGTTACCTAATTTTAGTTTTAGATGCTTCTAATTACTCTACAAAGATAACTCAGAAGCATCAGAAACTAACAAATAAGATTACACAAAGCACTGATTGACACATAAGTTTTGAATGTACCAAAAGTTGATACTTGATAAATTTGAAAAACTTTAAATTTATATGAGGAGGAATTACAGCTCCCTTTTATATAGTTGAAGACGCGGTTAAACCTATGAATTTGTTTTAAAATCGCCGTGGAGATAGAAACCATAGTCGAAGTCTCAAACTATCAAAATGCAGTACGGCTTCAGTTTGAAGCGAAACAACGGATAACAAGACTGAATGCACCCTTACTCACTTCATAAAATGTGTAAAATTGTTTCAACTGCTTTTATCATCTCACACACTCCATGATGCACCAAAAGGTATGATTGATTGTTTTACCACACACAGCTCGAGTTTGGAACTTACATATATATATGATACATGATTTTCACTTTCATTTAGTCAATTCACACATATCAGTGACAATGAACCTCACATAATCAAGATCAACTTTTTAAGATAGTCCAGTTTGCTGTCATAGGCCTCTCTATTGCTCCCCTTCTCACCAGATAACCACTTTGAGATTAATATGGCTGAAGAGGAATACTTGACTACAGAAAGCCAAGGTTTTCGTGGGGATTGCGAGTAACTAGAAAAAGTTCCAGGGTGCTAAGAGAGGGGAAACGTCAAAAGGAGTTTAAATGTCCACAAATGGCAGCGGATGAAAGAAATCAGAAACGTTCAAAGATTTACTGCACGAAAATAGTGCAAGCCCCTGTTGGGATTTCCAAGTTGGATGGTACAGATTTTGATTACACGAGGACTGTGTTAAGCCCCAGACAATGTAATTCAATTTTAAAACAACTTGAGAAAAGTGATGAACACAACAAATCCGCGAGTTTATTCAAGTGAGTATAAGTATACGTGAAGTTAACAAAGAACGTCCCCGCTTATAATTTGACTCTCAGCGTCTTTGCCACATGTTGAAGTGGTTTGGACTTTGGACTGTGAGGTTACTTACACGAGTGGTTTGTGAAGTAGACCAACACAAAAGCCAACTACATTACAAACATATATAGCATACAACATAAAACCTAGATTCAACATTTGGCCACAACACTTTAAAAGTCTACAGCGCCAACAAAATTTACATTCAGTCCCTTCGAACAAGAGCAAGTTTAACAATCACACAAAAACAACAATACAACTCAGATATCGACAAACATAATCAGTACCACATAAAATCAGAAGTTACCCATCTTTATCAATGTGTCATAGCAACCAAATAACAAAACCATCATCAACATAACCAAACAACATGTACAACAAGAAATCACCAAAAGAAAAGAGAGACAAAATTTACCTCACCAATAACCCAATATTGAGAAATGCTTTGTGAGGACACCTTCAGCTACACAGAATTTGCCCGAGGACATGTCAACTTTCTCCCCCCCACCAGCCATCAAAATTTCAACTTGTTGCCCCCTGTCAGACGGCAGCGGAAACTCCTTCCCGTCGAAGATGGAAGAAGTCTCCACCACGGCATAGACGCCGCCCACCTTGACTACCTGAGTCTTCCCTCTGCGAGTTATAATGCTCTTCAACTCGTCATAGGAGAGTTCTTTTCCCAAGATTTCAGCCGATAATAACTCAGCCCTAAGGACTGGAAATTTATAATTCGAAATAAAAATTCATATATGCATAAATTTGGGGGATAAAATAAAAGGCAACATTGAAAATTTGGAAAAAATAAGAAGCCAAGTGTTGTACCAGGAGCCAGTTTGCGATGGAAAAAAATCGCCGACAGAAAATATTTATCGACCGGTAGCTTCAAATTTAGGCCATGGTAATTGTACTTCTTGTTCAGGAACTTCAAATAGGTATTGGTAGGTACCAATCTATCAACACGGATCACGAGATCGGATTCTAATATCTTTATCCCCAGATTGGGAAAAGCCTCAGCCAACATAACAAGTTTCTCCTCATCGTCCGAGATACTACGAAATCTCTAAAAAATGCAATTAAAAAAAAAATGAAAAGGTTAAGAAATGTATTTAAAAAAAAAAACAAAA